AAACGTATGGCAAGCATTTTCTCTCATATAATCAAGAATATTTCGCAGAGCCAACACTTTAGTCTTCTTGCATTTGGACATCCCTCATTGTACTGCATGGTCCAAAATCAGAGGCTGATGAAAGCTGAGTGTCTGGGCCTGACTTTCCTTTCTACCCTTGTGTAACTGATGTCTGTATAAATTAGATGTGAAATAACATATGCAAGAATCGGACTCTCTTTTTATCAACTTGAAGCCAACCGCAAGCAAAACACATGCTTTGCTTTAGTACCGGTGCATTCACACAGTTCAAAATATCTGTTCAAGGCATTCATGTTAGGCACGTGCATGCTCATCTACACGTCCATCATTTCAGGGCATAAGACTGCCAAACTTGGGTGCTGCTAGCCTCAATCAGCAGTTAGGAAAAAAAGGAGCTTGGATTATCATTGACCCTAGGAAGCTACAAGACAGCAGCTTTACCCTGCAGCTTCCTCCTTGCAAAGGCAGCCCCCCCTGGCCATAAGCATATGGGTATCACCAGAGCACCTTCCCTTAGACTCGCCTGCTCACGGTCCCTTACTCACAGTCCAGGGCTAATGTAAAACAGGATGGCAAGAGAAACAGAGATGGAGACTAAATGGATGGATGTTTTGGAAGCACGCACAGTGTAACTTGTAGGATGTTCAGCCCTGAAACGTTTAACTTTCTACTAGCCTCCTAGGATGTGTCCATTAACCACCTTGAGATGTACACAGGCCACCACCCTGGAGCCAATTCTTGATATTGCCACCTGGCAGCTGTCCCCTGCCCCACCTCTGCAAGAGTGTGCTTCCTCCATAGCTGCCTTAACAGCACCTGGAAATACCAGGCGAGGTCATCTTCAAAGGCTGTCCAACCCAACTTTGTAATGAAGCAGGTTTGGGAGCAACCTGTTAACACAAAAGGTGTCAGAACAAACGAACGACCAAGAACTGTAACTCCCTAAATCGCTGCGGTTAAATCTGTCAGTAGAAGTTTGCCTCTGCCTTAGGAGCTTTTTTTAAAAAAAAATAATAAATAAAAACTCTCATTCTGGCTAAGTCAGATTTTAAAAGTTCTGGGGCTATAAAGTTATTTACACTTGCACTGTCATAAAAACAGTCAAGACACCCTTATTCTTCCTCTGCTCACTGCTAAGAACTCTCATTCCACAAAGCCAACATCAACAAAGACATCAGACGACTGGAAGAGTTAGCCGATAGTAAAAATTTATTACTTGGTTCTCGAAGAGTAAAATAAAATATCATGCTCAAAGTATTAATTTATGTCCAAATAAATACCCTCAGCAGCAGCATGATTTTGAATCACTGCACACTGACCAGAGAAGGCACCACACTCTATTGGATGGCCTAGCAAATGTCAAGGACCAAAACATAGTTTAGCTTCAGTTTCTCATTTAGTACCTTACTTTAGAAATAAATTTGGAAAATTAAGAAAGAGCTAGACAAAAACAACAACAAAGAAGAACAAAGCAAGAAGTGGGATTACTAAAGCCATGCTTCTTTTGGTATGTTTTAATCATATGGCGTTTAACAAGTAATTTAACTTGCTAGTTCAACGAAAAGTAGCAAAACTGAATTACAGTTTACTGGAACACTTCTTAAAACTAAGATTTATGCCTTGAATTTGAAAAAAAAAAAAAAACAACAAAAAAAGGAAAACAAAAGCTCCAGCTCCAATTATACTGTTCCTATGTTGCTGCTAAAGAACAACTTAAGTTTCATACATCTTCCCTGAAGTATAAACCAAAGATGTACTGTAGAAATTCCAGGATAACTACACAGTCCTAACAAACAGGTTTTGGTAACACAAAGTGACACATTTCAGTACATATTCATAAGGGTTGGGGGTTATTATTGGGCTGTAATTGCAGTTGTTCTAACACCTAATAAGCCATGGCTGGAAAAACAAAGGCAGGTTAATTTGTGATTTCCTCTACTCATTCAGAGGCAAATTAAGTGTCAAACAGCTAATACAGAACATATTTCATTTTATGAGATTTTAATTTAATTCTGCACCATATCGTTGATGCCTTAATGCAGGGTGGTTTATCTAAGAAGAAGAGCAATTTATAAACCTCTTCCAATTGAAATCTTTAATGATAGGATACGATAGCATAATTACAGCAATGCCTGCTAGTCCTACTATACATAAGCATCTGTCAGCAATTCCATCATAAACATAAACCCTTATTTTAAGGGTTTATAACTCAGTTATAAAATTTGGCTCCAGGCTGAAATTTGGGATACGACAGTTCTACCCATCAGCAATTAAGCTACAAGAATTATACATACAAATACATATACATCTTTAGAGCTGAAAGTACCTAAGAGCCCTGTAACACCTTGAACATTCTCCTTTCTGTTTTCTTTTTCACTCGGCCATTGTTCAAAATGATGTGCACACGTAGGTATCACGCAGACAAGGCCCTCTCCACGTTTTTTCTGCACTTATATTATACCTAAACTAATTCCACTAAGGCTCGACAGGTTCTGGAACACATTTCTAGGAGCTTGGATAACTGGAATGATGCCAATTTTTTGCCCTTTTTTAAAATTTATATTTCCCCCGCACACACATTTGAGAATATTATGAAGCTGAGGTGAAAACCACTCATACAATGAAGTCATTGATGAAGCTGTGGGTAAACATTTGTAACCTGACTGGTGTTCTTGCCATTTTCCCTCAGAATTCTCAAAAAATTTCTCAGACCCAGTTCTTTTTTTTTTTTTTTTATGGGTGTTAGGACAGCAGTTCAAGTAACAGCTCCAATAGATCCCAAATCTAACACCCCTAAGTGATACTCACACCAGGCTCTGTAAAACTTGCAAGAAAACCTGTGTGTGTCTATCTCATACTTAAATTAAAACATATTCCTGAAAACTGCAAAAGCATGACAAACCTTAACGTCTACAAAGCAGCTTTTGGAGTCTGATGGTTTGGTTTTTTTAAGTTGCTTAATTGCATATTTACATTTAATTGCACCAGCCACAACGGCTCCAAGGGTCCACTACAGCTCATCATTCCAATGGCAACACGAACCAAATGAGCGGAAGAATTGACAGAAGTTAATGGAAAAATAAACGGCCGCTATCAAGGAAATGTTCCGTTTAAAGCTTGGGCTGATACCGGAGTGTGTTTCTAAAGCAGCTGCCTGCAGTCATATCAGATCATGCCAAGATCTCCTCATCTCTAACAAGCCTCTGCAGGGCCCGGCTGAATCAGCGCTGCACCGCGGGGTACGGTGGGGAGCGGGGGTGTGCAGCACCTTTCTGCAGAAGGGGCATTGATTTCGGCATCAGAGGGGACTTCCGTGGAACACCAAACAAGGCAAGAAGCAGGTATTTTCAACATCTTTTGGGGTTCTTGCAGAAATCCTGGCACTTTTAGCAGTGTGGGCTTCTAGTCCCGATTTCCCACTGTCATCCAAAGTGGAGAACGATGGACTACCCATCCAAAAGCCCTGCTCACAAGCGCAGGGTGTCACAGTGTGGGCTTTGCGAAGGCTCACAGGCGGTACCCAGGTTTTGGATGATGGTCCTCTGCAGATGCAAGTTAAAATACTTCCTTGGGCTCCCTACCCCACCTGCCTCGCACTGAAGACAAATGTAAATTCCCCACTTGCTTCAGAAGGAGCAGGATTGTCCCCCCCAGCTCCCAAAAACATCCAGGCAGAATATTCACTGCACTGCAATATCTCAGATGACCATGTAATGACTCTGGCTGAGCCTGCCACCTTCAGCTTACAATGGTTTTTAGCAGCAAATTTAAGCATGTATTTGAGTATATTTTATGATGTGGTTAACTGTGGTGTAAATAGTGATGCATCAGAGGAACTCTGAGGAATAAATCACAAGTTTCTGTACTCTTTCTATAAATACCCACTTTTCCTCTAATGCCCAAGAAGACTGCAACACAGATTTATTACTTACCTTCAGGCAAATTTGCTCTGAAATTACAATTCAGTAATAGAAGACTGACCCAAAAAACTCTTAGTAAAATATTCTGTGTGTACTTGGGCATGTAGTTAGGATTGTTAATATCAATTAATTCTGCTCACAGAGGAGGACTTGTTTTAAAACAACTTCATTTTTCTTCTGCATATATGTAATTACACAGCTGTAACTAACAGCCATAGCAAAGCAATCTGCCATCTAAACAACCAGCATTATTCTTCAAAGTATTACTTGTGCTTTTCTTCTTGTATTTTCTCAGTATGAGAGGTGATTAGTAGATATGATTAAATGTATATATCAAGCCTTTTAGCAAAGTACCAAGCCCTGCTTTTCGGCTCCATTTTTAACGGTATATAGCAGTTTTCTGGACACAACAACTGTTTTATTCTGCAATGCTGATATCTGTCTCCCTATATAGAATAAGATAATATTTATTTCTACAGGATTTCACCACTAGCACCCTTCTCTAATGCACGTTATCACTGGTATTCATTTCTTTTATCTTTGTGTAAACCATGTGCTCTATCACATTTGCCATTTTGTTTGGGTGACATTCCCATCAATCAACCGATTGCCTGTGCGTGCACACAACAGGGACTATGAAAATTTACCAAAAATTTCATTATGCTTCATAGCAGTCACTGGAGAAAAAAAAAACAAACCTTTGGCATGAGAGGAAATTTTAGCTATGAAGAATCCCAAGCCTAATACAGACAAAATACATGTTTTGTCTGGCTGTATTTCACAAGGTTCAGCACTTTTTAATTTAGTATTTATAGAACAACAGCACACAGAATAAATGTCAGCAAAACATATAGGTAACACTCGCCAGCCACCTATTATAACAAACAGGAATTCCTCAGGCACCAGCCTGGTTTTTGCTTCACTAACAGATAACCTCGATGATTTCCAAAAGTAAATCTTGCAAGACTGGCAAAGCGCTCCAGGTGCATGGCTTTAAAGGTTCATATACTTGCCCATTCTTCTAGGCAGCTGAAGCAAGGGGAAATACTGAATACTCACACATGCAGAGGAGGAATGGGAGATGGTTCATAATGGTAGCGTCCCTCATGATGTCTCGCATCAATTGGTACAGGAGGATGGAATGCTGGAAAGAGGTGAGGCGGATCTGAAAAAACAAACGAGGTTCCCGGATCTGAGTATCTTCAATGACTCTTTAAAAACAACATTCATAAAGACGGAACAGATATTGCAAAGCACGTGCCAACATCGCTACAACTTACGGGTCGCGTTCTCCTTCCCTGCTGCAGTCAGTCAGGACTGTCTGAGAGAAGAGCTTGGCCCACAGTGTTTGCATGAATATGTATTTACTAATTTTAATATTCTCTTTTTATAGCTTAAATGGAAAGGGACGTAAAGAAGTCTTTAATAAATAATTATGTGCCCATATGTGAAGTGTCAGATCAAAAGAACCATCAAGCCTTTCATAAGCATTCCTGATTTATTTATTTTTTATTAAAACAAGAAAAAAAAATCATCCCAGGACAAAAAGCCTAAGCAGATAATACAATGCAATAAAAAAAGTATATCCTCACACAATCCTACAACGGAAAGGAAAACTGAAGCAGCATGCTGAGAAATGACTATCTGGAGTAAATCAGACAACGGAGTTAAAAGGAAAATGCAATTGGGAAAGGGCATACTGGAGATGCTTAACTGCATCACACCGATGGCCGCATCCGGAGGAATGTGCCTGAGGACAGGGGGACTCATTTCATATACTGCTCTTAAAAAGGAAGGGTGCTTTCTTTGTCCCCACAGCTGGAGACCTGGGGACCCACGGCTGCAGTAAACTCCCCTGCCCCACCTCCTCCAAGGCTTTTGCAGGACTGGGGGTTTTCAGCTGTCAGGGCTCCTGTTCCCCACTGTTTTGGGAAAGCCTCAGGGTCGAGGCTGACAAAATGGGGAATGCGCCCCCACCGGCCCCATGGGCACTGCCCTGCAGGGCCAAGCACAAGCGCACCCAGCTCCCCACCACTTCTGCAGCAGGATTGCCTCCCAGCTTTGGAGGGCACACAGTGCACAGGGACCACAGCTCTCCACACTGGCACACCGGTGCAATTTGGGTGCCTAAAGGTTATTGCCAACCGTGCTGCTCGCTGCTGCCTCCCAAATGCTCAAAATTCATATAAGATGCTGAGCATCTCCAGCAGCACGAAACAAACCAAAGCTTCTAGAAAGCAAGCAAACTTTAATTACGCACCAGCAGTAAAACTGAGCCTATTTTGGTTTGCCTGCTGACTCTTGAAGTTATCATCTTCTATTTCCTATTTAGCAAAAAGTCATCCTCCTCTTAGACTATGTTTTCTGTGAAAGCAGTTCACGCACACCAACTAGAGATGGTTAAAAAACAAAAAAGAATTTTTCCCCTTGGTGTTTGTCAAAAGTTGGGTTGGTTTATTATTATGTTTTGAAGTGGGAGAAAGAACTAGAGGAACAAACCTCATGGCCCCGAGGGAATAAACAGAGAGGACGAAGGGGAAATCGCGTAAATTCTGAGGAAATATTCCCAGTATTTCAGGAAAATCTGGAAACATCTGACATGGCCTGTCCATTTTCATGGCTGGATTTCGTGAAACATCACCAGCATGTGATCAGCCACAGCACATTTCTGCCGTTTACTGACTCAGGGCTTAGGCACCGTAAATGAAAAATAATAGCGGCTTACTTCTGAGAGCTAGGAGCTTTAATTTTGGTTCTGCTGCACCAGCTGGACCTTGGCATGAAATCTGTTACAAGCTTCAGTCCCCATGCCGAGCACTCCTGGGCTCAGGTGCCCCGTGAACACACAGTCATTGCCCAAGCGGAGGATGGTTGCTGCCACCTCCCAAAACACACTCCTCAACAGCAGCCAAGGTGGAGAAGGGGAAAAGGGGCATGAGAAGTATGTTTTAGTGCATCTCCCTGCCTGCCCTGTTCCCTGCTTCACTGGTATTTGACTACAGCAGCGTAAGCCGAAAGGAGGGGGTTTTAAAGCAGATGTCTGGCATTTTACCACAAAAACTCTGCCACCATTTTTTCAGCAAAGAAGGAAGTCGCTCACGCCTTCATAGATGCACAGGCAAGTCCTCCTCTGCTCTATGCATCTCTGAAGAGGGAATCTGGGGAGCACATGTGAGACCACAGAGATTTTGTCACCCTTATTTGTGTCAGACAGAACAAGCTCCGCCTGGCCAAGGCAAGCAATCCTGCTCAGGACACCGAGCCTCCTCACTGTCCCACCCTCACCCAGCCTGAGCACCTACCCATTAAAAGCAGTCCCAAAGCAGAAACACCATTTAAGCCTCCTGAATTTGATCATCTATCTTCCCCTATCCTTCCAAGAAATGGAAAATGAGTATTAAATGACCCATGAAAGGGTATTCCCCTTTGTGGGTCCTATGCAGCACAGAGCACCAACAAGTTGTATTTAACACATGGGATATAAATCTCCAAAAACACCTTTTTGAGTCCTCTCACATTAAGCTCCTTTGTATATCTTGGTTGCATCTTGTTTGCAGTTTCCATCTGGGAAACAGCCGTACTCCATCACGGCACAGGGAGCTGTCTCCGTCAGCCCTGCACCGACCGGAGCGGAGCTGCATATCAAAACCCAACATAATTATCCATCTCACAGTTTATTATTTACACATGAGCAATACAGCTGGTGAACATCATAACTCAAGTGTATGTGTAATAAGTTACTACACTGTAGCCATCTCCTGTTGCAACCCTTAAGAAAAACCACATGATGAGTTTTCCAAAGTCAGGCTAAAACTGCTGAAGCAGAATAAAGTGCCACTAAACCTGGCTACCTCCTATTTATCATATAATTTCCTGACTGATGGTTCCACAAACCAGCTGCTAAGTGCTGTGTACTCTACTGTCAGCAGACTAACACGCTAAATGGGAGACAGGGAGAATAATGTGCAGAACTAGTGGAGTCAGTTTTACGGAGGGAATTCAAATTCTGCCGTGTTTGGGTCAGCCCTCCGCGCAGAGGTAGGCAGTAAATTCTACGTGCTTGAGGGTCCAAAACCACTCCATGTTGAAGAGGATTGAATATTTATATGGATAGGCTCTTAGATCAAAGAGAGACCCGCCAAAGCACCCAGAGTCCAGGGCTTCACTTGGAATTCACTTGAAACTCCATAAAAATGTAATCAGTTGACATGTATTTATATGGAAATACATAGTCAGAAGTTTGCAAAGCAGTAACTCGGGCTGTAGCCAGTTTCACATAGCTTTTTCATATCCCACTCAGTAACTATTTAATTAAAGGCACCGTCAGAATATTACAGGCACGTTCTGCCGCTGTTATTTATGCTGTAGCTGAGTAAAGAACGAGTAAGACAACTCACAGGCTGGAACTGAATCTGGACCTACCTGACTCCTGGCTGTTTGAGAGAGATGCTCTACCTATCTAGAAAACCATCGGGCAACTTAGCGTAAAAGACTGCTCTGACTATAATGACATTTTCACGTTTCTCATTGAAAGTGTGAGGAACAAAACTCGTGCCCTTAGCAAAGAGGAACTCCTCTCACCAAAATACATGGACAAAATCTAACTTCCTATTCTGCTAGGGAAATTATTACCATTTGCAACTTCTTGAAAATTCTGGCTGAGACACAAGCTACCACAGCGTATGCCAGGCAGTTTTCTTCTAGACATCCAAAGGCAACCGTGAATTCTTGGGCCAATCCAGCAATTACATCCTTGTAGAGACTCCCTGACGTAAGTGTACAGTACAGGAGTCAAGACAGACAGATGCTGCCTGTGTATTTGGAACTCTCAGCTCCAATTCAGCAGAAATATCCGATTCTGTGCTTAAATTTCACTTTTCAAGAACTTGTAAGGACATGCCAAGGCACTGGAAATACACTTGAACACATTCCTCACGCCTTGCTGACTTTGTTGCCGCCTTCTGAATTCTCTGCTGCCTACTACCGTAAGCTTCCTTGGGATGGTCTCCTGGCTCCTGCATAGCTAACGGGGTCTCCTCAAAACAAAATGGGAGATTCACCTGCTTGAAATGCTACAAACTCATCAATTTTAGCACTGTGAGATTTTTCTGGAAAATGTGTCAATTTATGCTGACTTTTTGTTGTGTAAAGTGTGCCTTTTTATTTCTTCTTCAGGAATCTTTCTTGCCTTCTTAAAGAAAGTGAATAGGATCATCTCTCTCAAATTACAATCACTCCCATACAGGAAAAAAGAAGAGGCCTACACTTGTTCTCTGAAAGTCAGCAGCCTAGGGCTCTGCTGCAGCATCAAGGGAAAGAAACTGGGATGTAGCAGGGAGCAGCAATTCACTGCAAGACTTGATGGAAAGGTAGGCGATGCCAGCTGGCTCAAAGGTGCTGTGCAACACCTTGAGACGATGGAAGGAGTCTAAGCTGCTCCAAAGCTCACCGAAGGTAAGGATAACTTTTCTCTAGGCTCTGTAGTCTCTCAAATAAGCCTTACTCAGTTAGGGGATCACTACATTTGTTAAGTTCGGCTGTGGCAGTAAGGCTAGTAAAACGCTACACCCTCAGCTAACCGACTTGCTCAAGCACCTTGAGATTCCTGCCAAACCCTTGAGGAAGACGGCTGCTGAAATGACAGGCTGCATTTTTCAGCACGTCAAGAAAACATTTGCTACTGTAGAAAATGCCTGCATCGGCTTGAACGCGCCCAGTGTGGGCCCGATGCCGGCACCTGTGTCGTGAGACCAGGGCCAAGCAAACACAGGACTCAAGCCCAGCACAGGAAGCCCTCGTTAGGTTTTAGCAGATTCATCCTCGGGACGATCAGCTCACCAAATTAAATGTGAGAACTGAGCCAGGTGCAAAACTCTGTCTCAGATATAACCTCATTCGAGGTGAAATCTCCTTCCCGCTTACTTTCATTATGGTCTTGATGCCGAACTCGGTGGTACCAAGCTTTCACACCAGATGGAACAGAAACAATTTCAGGCAAAATACAGCCTCCCCGCTAATGTCTTTTCAATACGCAGAACAGTTTTGAAGATTTTGCCAGCAAATTTCTACACTTCCTTTGGTTCATAAGCTGATCACCAGATGGGAATTTTCTAATATTCAGGTTTGTGGAGTCCCTAAGGGCACCACTGTTTCTTCACGTACATT